GGAAAGCCATGTTTGGACGCTCACAGCGATTTTGTTTTTCGTTCGGTGGGCTGATGCCTTCAGTGTAGCTTTTGCCTCTTCCGACATAGAAATCATCTGAATCTTCTTTCAACCTCTTTTCACACCACGCATAATGTAATGATAAAAATTAGGAAAAAACGCTGAGGAAATATAATGTTTGGTTTGCTAGCGAGCGAGAACTGATTTGATAATAATTGCACATGCGCATGAATTGAATGAACTATGACCAGTACAATCTCGATTTGCATATTGTCAATCAAAGGTCCTGTTATTTGGTTACTCATGCAAATTAGGCAATTGGACATAAACATTGCCACCTGTGAGTGTTTTTTATTTTTAACCAGAAAATAAACAGCAATTTTAACGGTGTTCCAATAAGAATTCATTGGTCAAATTTTCACAGATAAATCGACATAAAAAACGAAAAAAACTATTTTTGATTGAAATTCACAAATAAACTGCATCTCTACCTTAATTTTACCCCAATGGATGTTTTGTATGTGGAAGTTTGTTATTTTCTCCCCGATTTCTAGGAAAATGTTTCTCAACTTGACTATTTACATTTTGTAGATTCAAGCAGTGTCCAAGATGGCTACCCCCATATAATATCGGTGAAATGATTGCATTTATCATATCACTTGTACGCCAGCTGACTGGTTATTTCCAGGTTAAAACAGGGGTGGGGTGGCTCAAATTACTCATAGGGGAATCCAGACACGTACCAGGCTGCGTAAAAAGCATTCTATGTCTACTACTGCAATATAGACTCGCCCAGAGTGGACACGATCACAAGTCGGCGCCAGCAAAATTCGAAAGCCAACTGTTTAGTCAAAACCCAAGCAGTTAGCCAATTCGCGAGCAAATTGGCTGCCCTAATACTTCTGAGACCTGCTGTAAGTACAACATGGATACAGCATACACGAGATGACAGCAGTTTGTTGATCCATATTCCACTAATGAACTTTTCACTACACAACCAAGAGTCCTCAAGTATGAACAGTGTTAACAATGACAGACATTGTTATCCCCTAACCTGCAACAATGTTGCAAGGACTATTACAATGTTGCACAAGAAACCCACTGTAGATATAATTGACATATTTTAGTTGTATCACAATAGCTATTTTTTAAGGTGAGCAATCACTTGTGCAGAATTTGCCCAGCAGAACTAAAAAAAATACTCCAAATTATGGGATTATTATATTGACAAAGCAATGATAAAATACAATAAATATAATTGATACTCAGCACAACTAAGATTCTACTGATAAATACTAACCAATGCGTCCAATTTTCATGCCTGAACGTGCCAAAGCACGGAGAGCTGATTGTGCTCCTGGTCCTGGTGTTTTTGTTCTGCAAAAAAAATTATACACATCTACAATTTGAGAATGGCGTTCAATCACATTCCAATATTCTACCTCCCCTACAGACACACACACTTTGCTCAGAAGGGAGGAAACACTTAAAGGTAGTGTATAGGGATTAATTATTCACTGGGTTTGAATTTTGCCGTTTCACTGATAAGTAAAGTTTGCTAAACTAATAAAACTAGGCAGCCTGTCTGCTGATATAACTCAGCTGTTTGTGATGCATGCTCTGAAAACAATGACTAAGAAGCAATTTAAACTTAATGCTAGCTGCTTTAATATTGCAAGACACCAACTTTTCTTGATTTTGTTGCAGAAAATATTTCACTAAAATTACAGATTTGAAGATATCGTCATGAAATTACCAAATATGACAGATTCCCTACAAACAGCAATCTGATTAGCAGTTTTCAAGAAGTTGAGAACAAAAAATTACAAAAATATTCATCAAAATTAGAGAAATGAAGATATCATCACGAAATGAACAAATCTGACAGAGGTCCACCTGATATACCTACATAAACAATATCAAAGAAATTGGACAAGCAGTTTTCAAGGAGAAGTCAAAAATATTTTTTTACCAAACATATTCATCAAAATTGGAACTAATTGTTTCACAGCCAAATTAAATGTCAGTGAAAATAAATGATTGTTACACTAGTTGACAACCATTAAAATCATATTTTACCATCTGGCTATTTTAGGGGGTAGCTCACAAAATCTCAAAGCATGGTCACTGAAAAACAATTTAATATTGGTTTAGGTGGCGCAGAGTTTTGTCATCTCTACATTACATTTGGGTACATACGATAAAAGAAATTATATGGGTATTTGTGGTCGTCTTGAATCATCAGGAAATTCTGATGAACATTTTTTTTTTATAATGCTTTATCATGAATTACTAAGGAAATAGTACAACAAAAGCCATGTTTGCATATTGTAAGTTTTTCTCTATCAAAATATTTTGCACTGGGTAAAAAAAAGCCCAAAAGATGATAATTTGTATATTTCGTGAAACGAAAAAACTTGATATTTTTTCACTCTCATTTAATAGGTTGAACGCCAGATGACAAAAAACTTGCAGGTCTGGGTGTATGTCAATGTATAGTTCCTGCATTGTTTTTACTGATAGTCTATTTGTGTTGAGACTCACTTGTTTCCACCAGTTGCCCTGAGTTTGATGTGCAGAGCTGTGATACCAATTTCTTTACATTTAGTAGCTACATCCTGAGCCGCCAACATAGCTGCATAAGGTGATGCCTCATCACGGTCAGCTTTTACTTTCATACCACCAGTCACACGGGCAATTGTTTCTCTGCAAGATAGAATAGTAGTTAAATTGAACAATGTATCACCAGATACTTTTAGACAGAGTTTTTAAACAAGGAACGGGGCGCAGCGCCCTCATGCCATGGGCATTCACCCCATTACCCTGGAGAGCAGATTCTCTGGCAACCATAAAATTCTGATTGACCAGCAGTGTTCTCCACAATCCAAATTAGCATA